TTTTGAACGAACTGCGCATGCGTGTTTTATACTTAAATAAGTCGAGAAATCCCATAGAAATTTTATTTAATGAAATATTCATTTTTTTCGGAAATTACACGCTGGTTTAGTGTTGTTTGTGTGAAATACTTTGCAAATAAACCAAAAAACAAAGCCAATCTTCACGTGATGACAACGAAATTGTGTCATCGTGTACCATACTCGTTGCATTGAAAAGTTCGACTAAGCAAAAAACAGTAAGATGTTTCTAAATTGAAAAGCCAATATGCAATCCGGACTCCTCAAACAAAGGCCTTTCTGACGACATGAGATTTGTTGCGTTTGATCGAGAAATTTACGAGAAAAGTTCCTGACAGACAAATGCAAGCGTATCATTTATATAGATCTTTGTCAGTTTCAATAAAATAATTATCTTAATGCGAGTTCACAATTACAACTACCAAAAAGAAATAAATATGGTAAATGTAATTTTTTTATACACCTTGTAATTATAACTTTATAACCCACTAGTAGCTCAGTGGTAAGTCTAAAGGCTTATGTTGCTAGAAATCAGATATAGGTACTCGTGGTTGGCAAAGACAGCTCATTGTGCAGTTTTGTGGTTGACAGCAAACAAAACTTAATTTTATGATTATTGAACAATGAAAAAAAAAAAGCACGGAAAGTCTTTGACCATAAATAAACGAATTCTGTGAACATTTAGTTTACAAAGAATACTTAAAGTTCATTTTATACAATCTTTTTTTACAGCGAGCCAATGAAGAATGTGTGGGGATATAGAGTGCTACATGAAACCTCCAAATATTGTCTCAACCTTTTATTCTAAACCACAGATTACTGTACAAAGAAAATTACATTTTATTTAGTATTATTAAGGTATACCAATGTTAAAAACCGAAAATTAAGGACAACTTTAATATTTTATATAAGTGACGCTTTAAAGGGAAAATAAACTTCCATACAGTAACATTTTTTATATTTTAATTTTATCAAATAAGAGGTAATCACACCTTTACATTTACACTTTCCGTTTAACATGTGCCTAATTTCTTGAATTATAATCTTTAGATAGCAAGGTTATTGTAAAAGAAATTATTTATATATAATTCTAATTATATATCTATATAACTATATTAGGAAGATTCCCGAAAAACAGCTACAGTCCAATTTCGTAGAATTTGACACAAAAAAAAGTTATAACTACACATCATAACCTCGTTTCCTGAATGTACTTTCCTACATCAGTTGCTGTATGGAAGTTTATGTCACGTGGTATAAATTTATTTGTATTTAAAGAAAACAACTTATCCCGTTTACAAAAAAAAAATGTTTCATACTTTAGTTTGACAAGGCAGATTGATTTACCTGATGTACCCACCGTTGACTTTTTTTTTCTTCCGAGTTGTTTGGAGTCGTAGAGAAAGCGCCTACAAGACTTAGAAAACTCTGCTGAATTTGAAATCCAATAAAAATGTTCACTATTGATTTGGTTTTAAAATGTCTTTATTCGAACAGCGAAAACTGGTTAGATGGAGTAGCACCTGGTTATTATTATTATACAACTGTATCTGTCAGGGCTACTTGTCAACTAATTATACTACAGCCATAATACAACTTGGCTTTTTATAAATGGAATTGGAAATTTAAAATGCATTAACATAATATAACCTGATTTCCAGAAGATTATTACTTTCACTTACGATAAACAGTTGGACAAATGATATCGTACTGACAGTTATTAAATTGCAGTATGGAGGTATATATATATATATAGTAGATACATTTTTTTGCCTATCTTAGCGAATTAAATTAAGATTAATTTAGAACAATGATCATTATTAATTATTAATCTTGAAGTTTTAGTACTTAATTATTCTCGGCTGGGGATTTCATTTTCGTACCATTTAGAAAGATCAGTTCCTGTTTTTGTGTTATTTATATCTACGAAATACAAAAGGAAAAGCTAAGTTTCATAAGTTTCTAGGCTAACTGAGTGAAGAAGCAACAGCTAATTTAAGTCGTTCATTAGTTTCAAAGACTTGTGTTTGATTACATGCAACATGGCTAGTTGCTGTGGCATCATGAGTGATCATTTCGTTTACTTCCCACTTGTTTATAGATTATAATGGTTAAGAAGGACTCTATCTCTACCCAGTAGATTATTTAAAAGTAACTAAAAATTTAAATGAGCCATATTAGTCTTCGTTTAGGTTGGTATTTAAAAATGTTTTATTTTATTTTTGTCTTGAACAGCAAAAAATACCACCGTACACAGTATTGGATACACATCATCTAAAAATTGAAAGGTGAGTAAAAATGGATCTCTTTCCATACACATGTGATGACAAACATGTAAAGCACACCAATACAATTACTATAGCTAATATATTCTCTCAACAAAAACTAATATCATTTTGTTTTTACAGCACACATAACATACCTACACACATCTTCGCAACCTATCTATATAACTATATTTTCCCACAACATACAAGTCTGTATGTGCCTTCTATATAAGACTGAAAGTAAGAGTTTAAACTTTCATAAGACTCAAGAGTGTTCGAAATTACCACTTTCTCTTTACTATACTTCACATTAGGAATAGTTCATTTTTATGAAATGTGGAAAAACTGATTAAGCTAGTTTAGATAAAGGTAATTCAAATGATATCAGTGTTTTCAAATAAAAGCGTAAATGTATGTATGCTACATGACAATGGGACAATGCCTGGATCTACTCAAAATGACACTTTGGTAATATTTCAGGCACTCACCACCAGATTGTATCTTTCATGTTGAACAAGAAGACAATTCTTTTGTAAGTCTGCTCATTTCAAGCAGTATAAACGTTCCAATACAACTTTTAAACATCCCTCATTCTATTAATCATAAAACATATATGTTAGTTGCATGTGAAATATACGAAAACTCTAAACTTAATGTGGCCTCTAAGGTTTCTTTAAATGAAAAATATTCACACGTTCATGAGTTAGTATGCTACATTCGTTACTCAGATTTCACCTTCAATATATCCTATGCAACTACTTAGTCATAGAATATCAAACGATGCATAAGCCTTAGGAAAACATTGAGGAACTGAACAGTCTTTAAATTTGATTTAAAAAAAGATTTACCAGTGTTTTATGAATCTGATGCAAATATGCCTTTTAGCTAAAATAATAATAAAAAAACTTCTCTTGTACAAATACCCAATCTAGCCACTGTATCAACAGAGCAAAGAGAACATTGTATGTCAACGAATGGTATTTTCGAACACTGTCTGAGTTTTTAGAAAACTGTGAAGAAAATGATACTCTAAGTTCCTACAGAACTATACACAATATTCATGTTCTTAATGGTTTAAATTGGCTAATCGGTAAAGACTCAGTATCTGTGTGATAACACTGTTGAACAACTGTGTGTGTATATCCTCATCCACGCAGGATATATCAATAAGCATAACCAAAAAATATACCCATTTATATAATTCTTTTAAGCCCATGAAAACTAAATGTACAAATAATTATGTATTCTATAAAGCATTCTATACTTTTTTTTAATTCAGGTTACAATCCAGTACGTATTTCTCTACCCTTTGGAATTACTCATTTCTTTCATTTGAAACTAATCATAAAAATGAATATTACCTATACAAATCAACACCTAAAAGTTCTTCGGTCTTTTTCTAAAAGTTATACTAACATCAGAAGTTTTTACAGCTGGTCATAAGAAGGGGTCAGGCTATATGCCTTTAAGCTTATTCGTTTAAATAAAATCAGTTCTTTGAATATCTCATTGGTCGGTTTTCGTCTTAAGAGTCAGATACAGTAACATGATTGATTAACCATTTCTAAAGGATTTAGCAAAAAGAAAACCTGGTTGGTCAGTTTCATTTGAAGCACTAAGTATAAAAAACCCTTTTCAGTTGTTTTGTTTGAATTATTAGGAAAACTGAAGAACCAATTTCCGTTTGAAAATCAAGAACAAGAGGCCTAGCTGTTTTCTTTTAGTGTTTGAGTAAAACGTCTTTGACGTATTCTTTATAAGCTCAAGTATTTTGACGTTAGAGTTTTTAAGCGAACTAATAAAATAGAAAGTGTGATGACATTGAGCAACGGATGAAACGGAATTTTAAAGCCATTGGTGATGTCATTCTGCAAGGTAAGAGAATGAATGGCAATATATATTAAGGTGTGTTCTATCTTCTCTTTATCCAATACTTTTAAGTCTGAACAGTCCACACGCCTTGAATGTTGAACACCTACACAGAGTATATCTGTAGGTGTTATTGCTCGGCTGACCAGCGTGACGTCTAGTAGTGAGGGAGACCCACTGGGGGATAAGGATGGTCTCGGTAGTTGCCTCGACTCACAGACCTATGGTTTATCGTTGGGTTTCGTCTAATTGAAGGTACTGTCCACTCTAGAACCCATAAAAATATGATGCTTTAGCTTTTCAGATCAAGGAATTAAGAAAAAAAAACAGCATTCAATGTCGGTACAGTGAAATAATACACTGAAGTCCTACCAAATACATGGTTTAAAGTATTAGGTCGTCAAGAAACTAATGTCGCGTTTCAGAACATTTTCATTAACCACCTTTCAAAAACCGTACATCACGTATAATAAATAGTTAAACAAACC